CCAACCCCAACCCCAACCCCAAACCCAAACCTCTGTAGCATTAGGAATTCGTGTAGGTTGGCAATTATGTTAATCGCATGCAAAGCATTTCAAATTTCCATTTTATTATCACATCTTTAAAGGGCGTACTGAACATCTTAGGAATTCTTCAGAATTAATTTATCCAAAACAATTCTAACTGATATCCTTATAACAATTCTATGTTAGTAGTATTGTTTGAAAAGTAGTGCATTCGTGGACACGTCAAGCACGTCAGCTTGTATATTATAGGAATCTGACATCTAGTGACTAGTCCTACATTTAGTGCAAAAAGAAGTGAGGAATGTATTTAAATATAAGCCAAAAGAATTGCATATTCATTTTTTGAGGTTGAAAACTTAATTAATTAAGATTTGATATATTGTATTTTTTTTAATTATACAACCTTATAAATGATTTCTGAGTGCTCATAAAATCAATATCTTCCCTAAAGAATCTAAATTTTTGAAAATTTATCAATCTTTATTTAATCCAGAAAGTTTAAATTAGCTATTTTACCTTTCTTTCTAGTAAGGGATGATATTAATTATATTTTTAAATGTAAAGCCAATCTGATTGCAGAGCCAGTCTATTTTAGAAACTCAAGAATGAATTTCTATATCATTTAGACATTTTCGGACAATAACCTAGTTTTACTATACTAAATCGAAGCAAATATCCTTCTGCGCTAGGTCTTCTAACATCATTAATGATTTGTTCCTTAGAATTTTATTTTTTTCTCACAGAAGTTGTAACGATGATTTCTCAATCCAAACCAGCAATTTATCAAACAGAAATATCTATTTCTGATACCGAAGTAGAAAAATATATTTTAATTAGCCATTTTTACTATATAATGATAACTTCACATTGGCCATATCAATAGTAAATGGATTTTCAGAGCCCATAATAGGAATTGATCGATATTTCACCCTTAATATTAGTTAATGTGAGAGATTAAGGGAGATAAATAAAGATTCAGGAAAATATCTGTGAATTTAAAGTAAAAATAACTGAAATTATAAGATGCGTATAATTACCAATAGAACCATGTAATATGTCACATTTTACAACCGAAATGTTATCGGAATACTTTTCAATTATTAGAGAGGAATCTAATGCATAAATAGGAAACATCTATAAGGGAATACGTTAGTAAATAAAATAGTTAACTTCTTAGAAATTCTAGGGCTAGGTTACATCCCCTGCATTCAGATACATATTTATTTAGTTTTCTGCTTGTCATAATACAAGTTTGTCTTAGACTTGGGAATCATAAAAGGAAATAGAAAATATCTTAGAATCAGGCCATTATAATATATATAAAGGTGATTACCTGACCAAACTTGATCGACCAGGATAACCTTTTCAAGAAATCATAACCATTGAATTTACAAGCTTTTCTTTAAGCACTTCTAAGACTATTTCTTAAAGATATAAAATCGTTTAAACTTCTACAGATGAAGGATTAATTTGGGAATAAATTTAGGATTTATAACACATTTAATAAAGTGAATGGAGAGAGATATCTGAATTTTACAATAATCAATATTTAATCGTTCATTATATTATGCTAGATTATAAATAAACAAACAAGATTAGAACTTATGTTAAATTACAAACAATTTTAGGAAAACTAGGTGGAATATTTTAAATTTTAATGATTAGTGTAGCCATTATTTTAAAGCCTATTATTGAAAACATTATGAATTTAGAAATGGTGAACGATCTTTTTAATTTCTCGGAACCAATTCCAGATACCAAACTTCAAATAAACGTAACTAATAATCTGAAATCAAATCAATAACTCACAAAAAGAAGTTAGAATTATAGATTAAGCCAATCTAATTTGGAAACGTGGTTAATAATCTTTGGATGTAGACCATAAAAAATACTATAATTTGTTTTTGCTAAAAGCAAGGTTAATAAGAATTTAGAAATAATAAATATTTTAAGAAAATTATAAGAAATAAAAGTCATTAAGAAACCTTTGTTAAGTAAAGACTTCAGATATATTTTAAATTAATGCTTTTTCACCAATTACCGATTTTAATCCACCTAGAGCAGTAATTATTTATCACAAGTAAACAAATTGTGAATTTTTATTCTAAAATAATTAACTTTCAAAATCTAATGCACATTTCTGAAATGGATATTATATACTAAATAATACGCCGGCCAATCGATTTATACTGAGATACAATAAAGCTCGAAAATAAAAATTAAACCAATTTTTACTTCTTCAAATAAATATTAAAAGCAGGTTTTTAAGATGATAAATTTATCAATTGGTAGTTCATAAAACTAAACATAGAGATAAGTTAAGAATTGTAAATAATCAATTAGAAGGATTTTAAAATAAAAAGATTCATATGTCAACCACAACAATTTTACTCTCAAAGTTGGTTTTGTGAAACATTATTTATCGAAAATAATTTGATCATCAACATTGAAGGCTGTAGAAGTATTTTTCATATTTCAGTACTATAATATTCTATAATATGAAGGAGATTATTGTTATTTAATTTATATGTTTGTTGATAATCAAAAGGCATAGAAGGCTTATATTTTGATGATCGAAGTACCTGAATGGTCTAAATTATTCCCTCCTCTACTGTAAAATCTTAAGCCTGATACCAATTAATCCGAAATCTTTACAACATTTACATTAGACTTGGTTCTAATATCATCAAAAATAACGTTTTCAGTCTTCCTATCAGCTGCTATTGCGAATACTTGCATGTCTGTTTCTCTATTATCTTCATCCCACATCCAAAACCTTACAGTATTGATTTAATATGCTTATAAAAATTGGACTATTATTGATTGACCAAGCCAAGCAACGACATGCCCTTAAAGACGACCTGGGCCTGTGGGGTAGTAGTAGAGTAGGTTTCTTAAAGGACTATTTTCAATACCTGGCGTCCAAAAGGTATTGACTCTTGCTGTAGATAATAGTGCTCCATTATATTGAGAAGCTACATCTTTGTAATTCCCCCTAATAATAGATGCTTCTCTTAAAGCATAAAGATCATTTTCAGAAAATTTTGCATTTGCATCAGCAGCTGGTAAAGGAGCAAAATCTGAGTACTCTAATAAGAAAAACAAAGCAATAGTTTCATTAAAGATTATAATTTAATTAATTATTAGAAAGACTTGTAGTTAAAATTTTACAGAAATATTAAACATAGAGGAGCAATAATGCATTCATATAAAATAGAATTATTTTTATTATTTGACTAATATCTATCTACATATACATCATAATCACATTTCTATACCAATTGATGTAGAAATTACTGTTGTTATCTTAAGACTTTATTTAAATTCTTTGAAAAGGGTTATCCTTGAAATAAAATGAATAAAATTTAATATCTTTCTAATTTGCTCATTTTAATTTCCTAATTGATTAAAATAATAATTATTCAAACTTATTCTGATAAACATACTTACAGACAGCAGATATAGAAAATATGAAATAAATTCTACTTTGATTCATTATTATCATTCTACCGAAAGTCATCTCTCTAAAGAAACAAGCAAAGCAAAGTGTAAATGACAAAAGCATATGAGAATAAATTTGTGCTCATCTTTAAATACAAAATTAATTGTATATTTCCCAAAGCTTCCTTCAGAATATAATCAAAATGCTGACTGATTTTTTGCAAATGCTCTTAGCTTAGTGATAGCTTCTCTCTCTGAGCATTTAATCATTTCTTAAAAAAAGATCTAATTAATTGCTTAAAAAATACTGATAAATTCTTAATTGAAATTTCAAAGTTCAGCCTTTATCAGTACCCTTACTCTACTAATTATTGTCTCAGGTAAGGGAGAGAATATTCAAAAAGATATTATTTTCCTCTTAAATTCTTAAAACCCAATTTTACTATGAAATCTATTCATCATTTGTTAGGCATAAAAGATGATTCAATACTTTATTTCTGTATCTAACTTTAAAATTTAAAAATTTTACATAGTGTATAATTTATTAATTAAGAAGTCTAAATATTCAATATGATAATAATTAAAATATGAGAAATAAAAATTAGTTTAAATCTTTTGAGTAATCAAGCTTAATTGTGTTCAGATTTTTCTAGGTAGTTAATGAATTTTTAATTATCTAAAATAAATTTCTACACTGGTGCTAATCAATAGATCCTTAACCTTGATATCCATGGATGGAGTTTTCTATAAGAACTGTTAGAAGTTATAAATAATTTACTAGTTTTCTGTCTCCTCAGAGAAGATAAAAGGTATCAGAATCTTTTTACAAGCAATTGCCTTGGTGGGCTCGCATGGGTTTATGAAAATTGATATTTAGGATGGAGGATTTTAATTTAAAGTTTATTTTATAGATGGTGAGTATCAATGTTCTCTTTTAGCTCTTTTTCTGTTGGGTTTTTCTTTTACTATTTTTTTTTTTACTAGATTTATGCTTTAGATGAGGCTTTTGAAGATTGATAGCTAGATTAGAAGTCGTAAAAGGAGTCAGGATAAACTTGACAACTTACTTATTGGAACTATGATGATTGTTTATGCAGATGACTCAAGCAAATGATAGAACTCTAAGGACTTAATTAAGGTAAATGTGGAAAGTAATGGATGGCATATGATGGGTATTGATTAGATTATGGGTTTTAAATACCTTTGAGTTACAATTGATAGCAAGTAAGTTTGAATCAACATCTTAAAAGAGTGAGAAGAATAGTATTATGCATCTCAGGATAGTTAGGTTCCTTTGCTAGTTTCTTACCTTAAAACATATGAAATAGGTATAGTATTCATTTATCAAACCCCATTTAATTATATAATTCCTATAATGAACGATAACTGAAATAGGCTCATGTGGCTTTACATAAAAATGACCCTATATCCCTATTGCCACGCCAGAATATGTGACTGATTTGATATGGAATAAACTTGGATTATTGCTAGACAGGCTAGAAAACACTTACTATGTCAGAATGATAGCTGCTTGAAAAACTTGCTATTTAATATTAGATGTTAAAAAATAGGTTATTGAAGCTAAAAAAGAGTTGGATCCTTTCTTTAGCTAGAAAATGACTAATATTAAGCTATGAGTTATTTGATAAGTAAACCTTTTGATAAGATGAAATATTTTTTGTACAGAAAAAAGGACAGATTACTAAAATGACTTTCTCTTATTTAAAATAACATAATAAGAAATGGTGAACTAGAATGTAAATCATTAAGATGTTCATCCAATTGTTTTGAAAGTTTAATTGATATTATTTTACCTTCCAATACTAAACTGATGAGTTCTAATAGAATCTTAATTTCTGATAATAGTAAAATATCTTTAATCATGCTAATTAATAAATTTATATTTTTTATTAATTTCATATCTAAATTGATTCTTTATAAATTAACTCTGTTTATTCCTCCTTGGTGAATCCTTCTTTTTGGTTTTTGAAACACGTACTTTCATCAATTGTTTGATAGAGGCATTTATTTTCAATAAAAATTACTAGAAATTATTTTTATTTAAATTAAATTAACTATATCTATTTCATTCTTTTATAAATTTTAAATAGGGCAAATTCAAAAATTCCTTAAAATTACGTTGATCTCGATAATGCTAATTTTTTTTTTCTATTTAACAATCACTTATAATCCTTTATAAATATTGATATTTGAATGAATGATCATTAGAATATTCTGAACATCCTTCACATTTTCCATTTATATTTCTCTTGCAAATGTGTTTAATAATATTCAAATCCTGAGGTTATTAATTTAAATATCACTTGAGGATTTAACAACTAGATAATAATCTACCATAGGTTTCTTTAGCTAATTGATTCTTTTAAAAATCTCTTGCTATCTTACTATTCAAATAACTTGAAGAAATCTTTTCTTAGTATTAGAGACATATAAATGCAATGTATCAAGATATTTATTTCTGTTATTAAAAGATTCAATAGTCTACTCCAATTATATTATAGGAGATTTTTCCCGGTAAAGATTATCCTCAATTAATTTGATATTTGATACACATAGTTATTGACGAATTTATAACCAAAATTAAGTAAGCATATAGTAAAAATTACAAAAAGTCAGAAAAATGTTTATTTTCCTTTACTATAAATTGCTATTACTATAAAATTTTACATTGATCTATGATGATTAAGATTTTGTTGCTTGTTATTTTGACCTAATTTAAATTTAGGATACGAAATCTTATACATTGCATTCTACTTTCAAAACATATAATCTATAATTGACTGATAAAAATAGGGATAATTAACATAAAATTTAATGTTGAGAAGGCGAGTCTTGAGAAAAAAAGATATTTTTTAATATAAACTTTAATAATGAATTTATGAATCAATATTTTACATCCAACATATCTAAGTATTTTTGATAACGTGTTTCTCTAAATCTTTCAACTGAAATAACATACTCAGAAAGACCATCCATGTCTAAATCAGTTTCTCCGAAATTCCCTTCATGTGTATGGATTATTGGATCCGTAAGGACGGAACCTACTCCTTACAAATTGCAAATTAAATACTAAAGCTTACTAATAATATATGTGTAAATAGAAAACACCTAACCTTTATTTAATAGATTATCATCACTATTTATATATCCAGTGTTATTACAAAATTTACATAATCTCCCTGATACAATCTCTCAGCAATCCAAAAACTCTCTAATAATTAAAAAACAAATTTACTTTCATTTTCTTAAAGAAACAGGAAATCTGAAAATCCAATAGGGGAGTTTTGCACCCTTTCCCATTTAATTAAGAAACAAATTTTTGCATAAATCTTTTCGAAATTAGATGGGATCTACAATCTTGAATTGCCTCATTCTTTGAGCTATAGTTTATCCTCTTTGAATATAAAAAATAAATACCCAATAGGCATCTTAAGAAAAAACACCTGATCCTAAAGGTTAATATTGTTTATTTTCATTAAGTAAAACTCATAATACTTACTGAAAGCTATTGGTTTCAAAGTTCTTACACAAGATCTGTCACGTTGATATATTATGGTATTATCATTAGGAAACCTTATTTTTTAGATTTAGGCAAAATTGCTTTCAAAGGATTGTTGGTTGATTTCTAAGCTAAAGAATATAAATTTATTTTGTATAGTATTTATTCTTGGATCTAAGTTGAATCTGTTTAATCAAGTAAGCACTTTATTACTGCCTCAAAAGAATCTGGAGGAATTTTTGGCGCTCTTGATGCTCTGTAAATTTAATCTCCGAGTTATAGAGCAGCTTCATTTTGAGCAAAGCTGTTAGTAATTCGCCTTTCATGTTCTTGAGACTCGGATATGGAAGGTTCTAAAAATAATTAATATTTACATTGTGCATTTGGTCGACTTAATTCTTTGATCCAATTATTTATTTTTGTATCCATTTTTTTTGAAAAATTCTAAATCTCTTTTTCTAAACCTTTTTTCCTATTAATTTTTTTCAATTATGGTTTTTATCATAATAATCTTATCAATATTTATTATGATTAAAGCTATTGCAAACCCTTGATATTGCATTAAGAATGATGAATTTACTAATTATCAGATAAGCAATAGTGAATATAAGTATGTTGATTGATAGGACATATCGTTAGTTTTGTTATCAATAGCAGTGAAATCAAAATTTATCTGAACACACCATAAATAATTTAAAGCAATTCAGAGGTAGAGTTTTGATTGAGAGTTCATTCTATATTAATCAAAATGAACCTATTTTAAATTAAGAACTAAAACAAACTATTAATGGGATTTCTCATTTTTTAACTAAGTTATCAATTAATCAACATGTTTTTACATACTAATTTGCCTTTCTTCTTGATTTGATTTTTTCTTCTTCTAATTAGATTCAAATCTTTGCAAACTCTTCTGGATTCTTCCTAGCCTTATTGGATTGCAGGAATTCAACTGTTAATAATTCAGTGTATTGTTCATGTCCGAAAATTTACAATGGTTTCAATATCTCCTTATTCCTTTATCTTATCTGCCTAGAATTTCATTCTTTTGATTTATAAGGGGAAATGGAGGCATAACAAGCAGTTTGAAAGAAATTTGTAAAATTCTGAATTAAAGATCAGGAAATTTATAATCCTATCCTCTATTCTATCCTAATTCTTAAAGCTCTGCTTAGAATATTCGTCTTGTTTTCTTTGGATTTTCAATAACAGAAGTAATCTCTTATTTTTCCTCAATCTATGAACCAGATATTTCATTTTTCCTGATCTTTATAATCAATATTACAATACTGAGATCTTCATTTCTTTTTACTTTTCTTCCTATAATATACAAGCATATGCAATTAGAAAAATATTTCTACCTATTATTCATATTCTAGTTCCATCTATAAACTTCTTCACCCTTCCGCAAGAAACTAATCTCATAAGAATCTCATCTCTACTTCGATTTTCTTGAGTGACATCACTTCATCACAAGGAGAGAAATAACTAGTACCATTAGAATGTTCATAGTAAATATGATTCACCACATAGATCAATATTTATCTTATTTATCCAACTAGTTATCAGAAGGATAGATAGCAAGTATATAAAGATTAATACTAAGAAATACTAATTTTTCTTGATTCCATTACGGAATGATAACAATTAAAGTATAGATGGCAAGACATTGGATAATTGCTATTTGGCTAATTATCATCAGATTTGCAAGGCTCAAAGATAAATGCCATTTAACTCATAAGCATGAATGAAAAAAATTTGCAAGACAAATAAATCTACTCTCAAAACATTTTTTAACCTATTTCTCTTTTAAAGGTTTTTACAGAGCAGACAAGTTTAAGATATCTTCAGATGATTTGCAATAACAACCATTATAAATATTTATGATGAAACAATCATAAAAAATGAATACTTTTTAGGAGGTTATTTACAAAGATAGATAGAGCAATAAGTTGTATTGTTGCAAAATAATACTTCGACACAAGCTTCAGATACTTGTCTGTTCGGTAATAAAGAAGACAATCTAATTGATTGTTAGAATGTAAAGGTAGCTCTAAAAATATTATTTAGTTGTGGGATTAGTAGACGCTCACAAAGTTTAATATGAAGGACTTTTCAGAGGTTTCATAATTTATATCCAGAAATATTTGATAAAACAAGTGAAAAAGCTACCTAATATTTCAAAGTTTATTTGTAATGGTTATGCTTAATTCCATTTAAACAGTGTTGGAGCAATCGGTATCTTTAATCGATAGGAAAAATGTTCCTTACAACCCTTGTAGAAAGGCATAAAACGAAAATTTTAATCATTAGAGACTGCAAATGTTTAGGCAGCAGGTGCATATCCATATTATCTCCTTATCAGGATTATTGTCTTCTTGACTGGTAACAGTAGAGTAAGGTTATCAATAATTTTAGCTTTAATGTTTCAGATATGAATTGCTATTGATATAGAAACTAGCTAAATTATAACTACATGCAGCAAAGTAACTGAATACTCAAAAAAGTCAACAATATATTGAGAGGTTTATCCCAAAATATTAGGGTATCCCAATGCTTTAGGACATAAGATTTATGGAAAAAGATCAAAGCCACTAATGAAAACCAGCAAAGCAATTTAATTAGATTGTAATGCAAATATTGCTACACGGTTAGCGAGATTTTAAATTCACCTAATTGAAAAACTCGTTCACATATTCAGGGCCACAATTAAATACATTATTGCCAAAACTTAATAGAGGTGTAAACGATGGGGATAGTTTTTAATGAAGGACAAAAGCTTATTCTTAAACACGTTAAGTTTGGCTCATTTAATTTAATACCCATTATTCTAAATTTAGTAGCAGCTCTAAAGTTAATGTAAGCGTGTTATCAAAAGTTTGAGAATTTGAAACAAAACAGAGCCTGCATAATGCTAATATAATAGTTGAATGAAAAGTTTAAAAGTTTGCTAAGAACATATGTAACGGACATAAGCACTTGTGAACAGAGCATTGTTTTAAGGCACATCTCTTTCACAAGAGGTGCATAAATTTAAATTATAACCATTTGTCTTTAGAAACAAGCTATCTTAATCTATTCTTCAAACACTTTCCATAGTCTTTTTAATGATTTCTTTGAATAGTTTTGGAGAATGTCTTACATATTGTGTTCGGGTAAACTATGAGTACCTTTTCAGCAGTAACATCCTACACACAAAAGTGAAAGCTTCAGGTAGAGTTTATTGAAGCATTAGTCATTCGTAGAATAAGCACAGTTACTTACGATCTTGCATTAAAGGCAAAACTTAATATACAAAGTATCAACGCTGCTGCAGTGCAACTATCTTAAAAAAAAAAAAAATTTTTTGAGAAGTTAAGAAAAATCAAGGAACTACTCATATGGTATATTCTGTATATCCTGCATATTTTAACATCTAATTAATTATGAACATTCTATATAATTGCTTCTAGGCTGATATTTATCATCCTACATACAAAGCAAAATAATTACCTACTTAACTTGAGTAAGTAGTTTAAATCTTCAAACATGATGCCAAAAGATATCATTTGAAAGCTTGATTAAGGATGCCGATGAAGGTAAAATAAGATGAGTATTGTTTATTAACAAAGAAGTACATTAAGGAAATTAGGCAGCCTTGTAACATGTTTCAGAGTTAAAAATGAGATTACATAAGCTAAGCTATTCCACTACAATCTTCATTCAAAATTCTCGTCTATAGGATAACATCATTATCTTGATAAAAGCAAATATTATTAACGGAACTGGTAGCTGGACAATTCATACACAGCAATGTATATTAGTTAAGCAATGACTATCATATTAAAATGTTCTCCCTTTAAAATATAAAAATTTGGACTATCATCAAGGATAAAAAGTGGATGCTTTCAAATCTGTCCAATCTAAGTAAACATTATATTGTGATACTTAAAATGAAACATTTTTTGGAAACTGCTAAACAAGTGATAGTATTTCTAGTACACTGTTGAAGGTAATAGGAAGACTGTATCATAAAATTTCAGTTGTTTGCCTACTCTTGATTCAGAGTGGCAGTTATTACCACAATAGCAATTTCCAGACTACAAAGTGAAGTTTAACTGATGGCAAACGAAAAGTTTTGTGTCTCAATAATCATAGTGTTATCGAGCACAAGATTTCAAAATTACAGCTGTAGTTGTGATAGATATCAGACTGTCGAAAGTGCAAAAAATATGAGTATCCTCTATTTATGCAGCTATATTTGTATACTACTTATCAAGCCCATAATTACGGTATTTAAATTAAATTATATTGTTTATAGATCAAAATTAGCTTGTAAGAGGATTTATTCATAAGAGAAGACGCAAATTTCCCGTCCCTTTTCATTCAAGACAGAACGTCAAGCGTACCTTTTGGTAGGGTTTGGGTTTGGGT